ATTAATAGATTTACTTCGTTTGCCTATACCTAACTTTAAAAGTATATTTATTAATATTTCATGTAAGAATTTAAAGAACAAATATCATTAAATTTGTGAGATTTATGCGTACACTATAAATTAAATTACCTTATATGAGTAGCCGGAGTACAGATTAATTTACAATACAGTTAATTCAATGAAGAAACTAAGTTATAGAACCAACACGAAATGTATATATAATATATTTACTTACACGTACTGTACATTTATTCTATTAGAAATTAAAAAGAAATTGATTATTTGATTTAATTTTTAAAATTATTTCTTTTATATTATTTATTTTGTTAACATCTTCATACAACAGAGGGCAACACTGATAGTAAATAATGTTAAATGGCACCGTTTTGCTGTAAATTTTTAAAGTTTTTTCAACATTTTTACAGTTAAATATAATATATACGAATGTTTACTGTTAAAATAGATTTTTTTCTGTATAAATTTATTAATAATTAAACTATGGTAAATGAGCATTATGCTGTGTACAATGAAGTAGTTAAGGAAGTCGTTAAATAGTTTTAGTGGGATAATATATAGGTTAATATGCCTTATTCCGTATATACCTAGATATATCAATATAACAGGAAGCATAGAAATACAGCAAGTTAAGGCTACAGCTTGCACATTTATGACATATTTCCGCACCGTTCTTCCGCATCAAATACGTGACATTAATAGTGATGGCAAAGTTTTAATTAATGAATTACAGGTGTATTTCGCGAGACAACGCCTATAATCTAACATTTCTACTGAATTATTTCACTTGGCTTACTCTATACAGCATAGAATGATTTATTATAAAATTTTTCCATTAAGTTTTATATATTTCCATTAAAGTCTGATTTACTTTACTTAGTTTTAAAAATAAATTATTTTAATTTATTAATATCTGTCTCTATGAAATTTCAAACATTAATATTTGATTTAGGAATATTCGTGATAAAATAATTTAAAATAATTATTTTAAAATGGCACTTTATAAGAGTTTTAAATATTTTAACATGAGAGAAGATTGAATTCTGTAAATATTTGCTTTACTTTTTCGATAATTAAATAAATTATTTAATTAAATCTCATTAAATATTTATTTTAAACATTTAAAACGTCATTGATTAAACTAGCATTTTAAAATTATTTTTTAGATAACATAAAATCTAATTAATTCTAATTGAATTTCTATTTTATTCTTTAAAATAAATCAATGAAATTATTAATAAGTATGATATATAATAAAAGAAAAAATGAGTGAAAAGTATTGCTTCTAATAGTTTTTATCGCATCATTTTACCAATGAACCTATAAGAATCATATTAAATTGTTTTTATGTGTGATATTTCTATACAACTTCCAAATAAAAATTACCTTTGTACAACTATATACTTTCTGAAAATGGTTTCAAATGCTACGTGAGCACTAAAATTGTTGCTTAATAGAGCTACTTAGAACAATATATCGAGTAGAATTATTGCTTATGACTCAATAAATCGTCAAAATATTCTGTGTAAACATTCGACTATTATGTTATATTTTTGCTAGACCGTCCATAAAATATAAACTTAACTCTTACTGCACTTTTTCGAAGCATCAAAATGTGCTATGACCGCTATAAAAGATGAAATAAAATTTTAGATAAATTGCGAATATAACCGAGAAGATAATGTAAGAGATATAGCATTCGTTTAAAACAAAATTCCAAATTCAAATCGAAGATAATTGAATATAAATTCCAAAAAATCGTATATTTTAAATAAAACGAGTAAAAATTATTATGATGTCGTTACAATGCCAGGCTGAATTTCGAGATCGAGAGCATATATTTTAAATTAAATAAAATTAAAATATATGCTCTCGATCTCGAATAGTGTCTTGCCCCTGTACATCATACTTTTCCTGATAACGACAGAGTCTTGCCGGTCAGCTATGTAACTCTGTTCGGGGGAAAACTTCGAATTGAACATGTGACTTTCGTTACATACTGGAAGTTCATATATAGTCAATCGGGACCTCCTGCCCTAAGCTTTCCATATCTGGTCTCGAGTTCCATCTATCTAACACCGTTCTCGAGATTAAGGAAATTGCAGCACAATTATAATTTATTTATATTATCTAATGTAGAAAACGAATAAGTAATTCAAAATTTTAATTATGACGATCATAATTGAATAAATTATAATTTATTTTTTAAAACATCTATATTGAAAGTTAAGAATAAGTATGACACATAAATAAGAAAAAATATTACATTATTTTCAGATTATATTTTAATTCTATTAAGAATTGAAAGGAGAAAGTTCTCCACGAGAAGATTAACATAAATTAAAATCTTTTACGACAAGAGAAGATTACACAGGAACAATAAACGTCGTAATACGTTGCTTAAACAAAGCATAAGTGGAAATTATTATACCAATCGTCTTACAAGATACAAAATAAACTCAACTCGAATGCTTTATTATTAGTAGTACATTTACATAAAATCATCCAATACGTGTTAACTGTACATAATATTGAAGAATTTATTTCACATATCCCATAAAACCTTATAATATATTTTTATTTCCAAATAAAACAAAAATAAAAATATAATTTGGTTCGAATATTCTATAAAAGGGCATATTATTTTTTACTAGTGAATATTGAAAACTTTGTATGAACAACATATGTAATGATTGTTTCAACTACAAAGACGATATCAGAGGCTACAATATCTAAAAAGAAATAACATAAAGAATAACTTCTCTTGGTATTGTTTGCACATTTTTTTATTGAAATTTCAAATATTTTTGCCATATATCTGATACGAATTTTTATTTATGCAGCGTATAAAGCGTGTAACATATTTATCTAAAGTAATATTATTCTCTCAACCATCTATTAGTTTTTCCCCCTTTTCAGTCACGCAAAAATAGCCTTATTCGTTTCTCGGAAAGGAAATAGAATATTCAAATGAATGGGAGGAATAACATTACTTTATAGAATTGTTTATACAATTTTATATCTTTCCGTTTTTAACTTTTAAACTAATTCAAGTTTAAATTTTTAAGGATTTACTTGGTTTTTTTTTCTTTTTTTTTCGATAATCTTTTCTGAAAGCTATTTCGTGCTCAAATGATTTTTCCCTGCAGTTTAAAGTCATAATATGAGTTTTATTTATTTTTTCCTACGTCTAATCAATGAGTAACAAACACTGGAAACTCTATCTATCTACTACTGAAGTGGAGTATAAAATAACGAGTTGATATTAAAATAAAATATTAATAATATATATAGCAGTAAAATATATTATTTTTACATAATAATATATACAAACTTTTCAATATCGATAGGAAATTTATTTTTTTATATCGAATAAATTATCCATTTTCTTTAAAATTATCATCTCCTTCGTGAAAAATGTATTTTAATATAATAATATCAGATACAGTAAAACCTGTATAAACCGGACTCGCATGGTACCGAATATTTTTTTAGGTTTCTGTTTTAAACCGGTTTTTTTAATACAGAAATTTTTGCTTAACAAAGAATTCTACCCGTTTAGAGTTATGTTTCCGTTTTATTAAGGTTCCGTTTTGAATAGATTTTAATTTATTTATTAGCTATGTTAATTAATTACATAATATTCCTTTTAAAAATAATAAAAATACACGAGTAAAAACAAAGGATTTAAACTAAAAGCTTAAAATATGGAACTCAAGTTCAATAATGGAAAATAAGGAATAGAAGCGGGAGGAAATATTCGCTTCTTGTCAGCTTAACGTCTGGAAGTGATATATGATCGAAGTCTGCTTTTCCGCTGGGATATTAGCTGTGAGCAAAGCGGCATTCTAACTTGGCTACGATAATATTAAACGAATGGCTACCATTCGGAAGCGAGCACACCGAAATCCCTCGATAATCACTTTTTCTATTTTAGATTAATTAGGATTTCAGCAGATATCTTAATGCAGTTTTTTTTTATGAAATTAGAGAATTAATGAATAGTTTAACAAATTATTAAATTTTTCAAGATAAGATTTTCAATATAATAGAGAAATTTGTGTGCATTTTTCACTAGAAGATAAATCTTTAATTGTTTAGTTTACTCCTGTAAATCATACTTCTCTGTCTAACTTATTGATATTACAGTCGAGCTGCATACGCGAGAAGTGAATGATGCATGTTTTTCTCTATAGAAATTATTAGTTATAAATTATATAAACGAATAAAATATAGCATCAGAATGTTTTAGAATGTTGCTTTTAACTTATTAAGCAATATAAAGATAATAAATATAATAAGTTTCGTGCATTACTAGAATGCTGATAGTATATTGTTAAAATTAAGAGGAAAATCTCACGAAACACATCAATGAATATAAATTTAATGAAACAAAATTTAGTAGAATACGTACTGAGCATGAAATATAACTTCTAAATTCAATTATGAAGAAAATAGTGACATAATTTTAAAATAATTATTTGAATGTTAAAGTTAAAAATATTTAATGAAATTACTAATTAAACTGCATACATTATATTCAATATTTATTTTAAAATCGTATAAATAAGAACCATGTATTATATTAAATTTTAATTTATTATTTTATTAAAATTGTTTAAAAAATACATTACTTAGCATTGAATGAGAAGAAAATATGCTTTTTTGTAATGGAAATTTTCCTTAATTTTTTCTATGCAAACATAATTAAAATTAATAAGAACTATATTTGTAAAATTAGATAATAAAAGGAACTAAAAATAAATAAATTTAGAAAAAATAACATTAATAATTTCTCTGAATAGTTAATAAGGTATAGGCCTACTAAACATAAATATAAATAATACAAATATTTTATAATAAACTGTAGATACACGTTTCCATATCTTAACATATTCAAAATTATAATACTTATAAATAACTTGGCTAATTTAGAGACAATTGAAAAATATTGTTATTAATATAAAATAAATTTTTATTTGTAGGAAGCGGATATAGCAATTGCACCTTTAACTATTACTTCAGCTAGAGAAAGAGTTATAGACTTTACTAAACCGTTTATGTCCTTGGGAATCAGCATTATGATAAAAAAACCAATGAAGAAAAAACCGGGGGTATTTTCTTTCATGAATCCACTTTCCGAAGAAATCTGGATGTGCATTATCTTTGCATATGTCGGTGTATCCGTTGTCTTATTTCTCGTCAGTCGATTTTCCGCACAAGAATGGCGCTTCGAAGAAGGTTTCATGGGTCCTAGTGCCACCAACGACTTTTCCTTTTACAACAGTCTATGGTTTGCTCTCGGAGCTTTCATGCAGCAAGGCTGCGATATCTGTCCCAGGTAATGTTAATGTTGTTTTTTTAAACTGCACTTTAAACATTAATATGATCTAAAAAATGCAAAGATTTTATCATAAATTGACAATTTTGATAAATTATGGCTGTTTAAATTTAATTTTTATGATATTCTATACCACATTATTTATTTTTATTCACATTCTAAGGAGTAAAGTATCTCTCTGATCGTATACTACGATTATTGTTCTCTGGTTCCTGAGAGGTAAAATTTCGGTTTCAAAATAAGGATACAAATATAGTTTTTATCGTCGATGATCTGATAAAATATAAAATAATGCGAATGTTACGTTGGAAAATTGTATAAAATAAACTAGCAATTTTTATTCAACCAGTGAACTAATATTAGTTTGATATTATTACAAATATATCATAATTGATTAATGCTTACAAAATAAATTCACTACAATTTTTCGGGTATTTTACGTTGATAACAGATGTTAGTGGAATATTATTTCTGATAAATTTCTTTAAAAAAATTCTAGTAGTGAATTTTGATGACAATCAAGTAACTTCAATTTATCATTGGGAAAAAAGAAAGCATTACTGTTCTTTGTCATAGATGAATAGAACATCGAAAGAAAATGTCATTCGTTGGAGGGGCCGACACCGTTTGAACTCGCACGAGTTTAGTGACCCCAGAGGAACGGTCATTGTAGTAAGATAGAGGGCTATGTCACTAAGGTGGCACTATACAATGTCCCTTAATGGAAGAATCATCGATCAAAAGAGAGGAATAAAAAATAAATCTATTTTATGCTTTTTATTCTTCTCCTTTTATATATGAATAAAGTATTTAATGAGAATTTTAAATGACTTTATATTATCTCATGTTGTTTCCGGTACATGTTCAATGATAAACTTTAATAACGTTTCTTCTACTTTACATGTACTGGAAAGAGAAAATGCAATCTCAATTCTTCTATTATTTATATACACAGTTCAATATTTTCTCTAGCAATAAATTGAATAAGAATAATCTAATTTTTTTCTATATATTAGTTATAATATATTTAATAGTTACATTGAATGCTATTGTTTTCGTTTAGTGCTGTACTACTTCCGAAGGTAATAAAACTATCGATGTATCTGATTTATTTATAAAGTAATCATAAATACTATTTATGTTATGACTATTCTATAATAAATAGAGGAAGCTCTCCAGTTATCCTATACAAAGTAGGCTATAAAGTAGACTTACTTTCTGTCTTAAATATAAAAAAAATTTAGATATTCGAACATTTTAATAATTCAAAATAAATTTCAAGAAATGCCATTAAGACTTACTGAAAGATAAAAATAGCTTCGGATATAAAAAAAGGCAACAGGCAACTCGATAATTGCTTCTCTTATGAAGGGCGTAGTATCGATGTCACGAATGTGCTGCCGAAATTTCTGGTTCAAAATGAACTTATTGCATGAAGAGTTTTTTAAAATATAACAAACGATAAACACTTTTAGGAAGAACGTAAAATATCGTGACTCAGAAATTAAAAGAACCACTCCTTCATTCTCTCCATTATTTCCTATTTAAAATTCGATAAAGAAAGAAACAAAACAGAAATAGTCCAATTGGAATGGAATTTATATTACTTTTTAATCAAATTATTTAATTATTTTAAATTTAATCAAAAATTCTTAACAAATTTAGCGTGTTCAGATGATTCAATTGATGTGGATGATAGGCAGATGACAATTAAATAAACGATATATTCGCATGTGAATTTTTGTTTAATATGCTTAATTATATATTTATTTTAAAAATATATACTTAAAATTATACAATTTTGTGTCAAAGTATGCTTATAAATGACGATACTTTCAAAGTTTAAGAATATTTATTGAAGGGTAAACAATAGAATCTGTTCTACACAACAACGTTATTATTAACAATTACGCATTAAATAAATGATGTTAATATTATCATTAATGAGCGAAATTAACTTCAGATTGAAAATTAATTAAACAATTCTATTGTTAAGTATCGAATATTTTCCAAGTTATGTTTATTTACTTAAACAAGTTTAATAATTAGGAACTGTTAATTTCTTGTTATAAAATTTTAGATTTTATTCAGTTTTGTTTGCATGTATCATTAACACATTAACAAAGATAAATTTAATAATTACAAATGAAATATAAGCAATAATATAAAGATATATTTCTCTCAAATTTTTAAAAATAAAATATTCAGCATACGTAAATATTTTGTTTAAGAAAAGAAATATTTTTCTTAAAATTAATCATGTCATTCACAGTTTCTCTTAAACAAAAGGAATTTTGTATGATATATGTAGAAGTTTTTATCACACAAACTTATAAAATAGCCAACACATTATCTAAATTTGCAACATATAATTTTATCTACAATCTTTATCTACATCATACAACTTTATCTACGAGCTCACCAACGTGCTAGCCACGTAGAGTTTACTGAACTTTTCACGTATCTAACACCTAAATAGGGGCCAGTTTCATGTGTAAAGTCTTCCTAAAAGCCATCTACTCGGCATTTCTCCCGTGCAATATTTAATTTTTGAGTTTGCATTATTTGAAACTTCAATGGCACTTAGGAAAAAATTGACGATTTCTCTACAATCATGCATGATTATACTTCCAAATTGTAACAAAATATCTGAAGGATTGATATATTTTTATCAAATAATAAACAATAAAATACTACAACTTCGTATCTTCTCAAAAAAATAAGTTTTGTACATAAGTCTATTTTAATGATTTGTGATAAGTAATTTAATTCTGTCTCACAAAATTCCTGTTTCTCGTGATATAAACGGAAATAAAATTGCTAGAAAATGTATTTAAAAAATTTAAAATATCTATTAAAATATAGTTTTCAAAAAGTGTTTATGTATTATAATTAGAATAAATTCAAATTAAAATAAAAACTTTTACCGCTACCTCTGTCGCATTTATGTATAAAATTAAATTAAATATTATCTAATTTATAACTATAATTGCAAGAGATGTATAAATATAATTTAAAAATTTAAATTTTGAGATTAAATTACAGATCTCTTTGCAAATTTATTGGTAGTAATTAGACATTTATAAAAATTTTTTTATCATTTTCTTTAATAAATGACTAATTAATATCAAAATGGAACTACTGTTGAAATTAGTATTTAATTTTATTATCAATAATAATTAAAAATCGGAAATTAATTATTGTATTTTTAATATTAAAACATTTTTTAACTTTTTGATCTAGGAGTTGAAAATTCTTTTATTACTAAAAATGGAAAATTAATGAATATTATTGTAATTAGAGATTAAAATGTCACCAGAGATGTTACATTTTTTCAATATTTTTATTTAAATTTTTCGTATTTAAATAAAGAAAAGTATAAGTGACAACTTCTAATTCGGTATGTCAGAAAATATGCGTATTTTACGTATCTCCATCTCTCAAAATGACTGTGATTGAAGCTGTCAAGTACTTTTCTTTTCTATATTAAGATTAGGAAAAGGAAAATAACTGACACTTTCGTTAAGCTATGTAAGCGATTGGAAAGATAATCAGTTTTTCAATTTCTCTAATTCCATTTTTTTAAAATATGATAACTGAAGTTGTATTTTTTTTCTATAAAAAAACTCTTACTTTCTATATAAAGCCTTAACTAACAAGGAGAGAAAAATTTTTACTCTCGGCACGATTCATTTATTCTAAAAAAAGATTATCAAACTTTTCCATTTCTTCGCCTTTTATTCTATTATTCGTACATTTAGAATGCTTATTCTCGTCCTAAAATCCACTAGCTCAATATCAAAATTGAATATTTCATAAATGCCTACATGAATATTTCAAAGTTCCTGTTGTTGGCAAGGTGACCTAAATGATACATATGTATAGAAAACGGTTCCAATCGAAAGAATTGCTCTAGCGATAATTTATTCTAAATTATTCTCTTCTACTAAATCAAAAAAAAATATTAAGCTTTCATTTATGTGAATGGGCGTTATAAATACTATAAAAGGTTATGTGAAGCCAATCTTCTAGAACACAATAAAAATATATATTTTAAGGTGATAGAATATTCTCTCTCTTTCTCCCTCGCTCGTGCTTTCTGTCGTTCTCTTCTCTCGTCCCCTCTCTCTTCTCTGTCTGTCCTTCATTCCTCTTTCCTACCTGTCTCTTCTTGTCTGTCTGTCTGTCTGTCTCTCTCTCTCTCTCTCTCTCCTCCTCCTCCTCCTCTTTTGCCTCTTTGTCTCTCTTATCCCTCTTCCCCTATCTTTCTTCTCTGTTTGTCTCTGGCTTATCTCCCGCCCTCTCTCTCTTTCTCATTCTTTCTTTCCCTCTCTCTTAGCCTCTCTCCCATTTTCTGTCTTTTTTATTGCCAAAGAGTAAAGAGTCCGGATTCGATTTCCACGTCTACCCAATTCTTGTTCGCTTAACAGCAATTATTTATCTCGCTGCGGGGTAAGCGGCACCTTTTTATGTATAATGGCCCGTCTTACCTTCTAGATGCACCTTCCCAATATATTTGATTGAGTAAAAGATAATCAAATGGTAAACAAAGCATCTACTTCGTGATTGAATATACGAGAAGATGCCGAAGCTAAAGATAAATTAAATATTCTCTGATAATTTTACAAGCAATCAAATGAGCAAATAAAATTTAATCTCCCTAATGGGAAATATCGTGTGTAAAAACTTACATGTTTAGTATCTAGAGATATATTAAATTTATTACATAATATTTTTACTGAAATAATAAATTACCTTATAATTCTTAAAGTTAATAAACTAAATTTTAATAAAATGCATACGAAAATTAAGAAGAAAAAACATAAAATTTTTAATATTTCCATTTATATATTATCAACGACGACGAAAGAAAATCTCCTAATTTGATTATTTAAAAAATCTAATTTTATATAATTATATATACGTATAATAACGAGTATAAGTTATTTTATAATATATATAATTTTGTAAATAAGTAATAATAATTATTAAAATAAATAAAACTTTAATTAATTTATATTATTAAATTTTAATAAGCTTTTTTAACATTTTCATACATTTTCTCTTCATTAAATATTATTAAAATAATAATAACAATAATAATGTAAAATTTTAATTTTCATTAATTTTATTGAAATTATTTAATAAACNTTCTAAACTGATAGAACCAATTATAAAATTGGAAATGTAAAAGAAAAAAAATATGAAAAGTAATTTTAAAGTAGAATTATAAGAAAGAAATTAAAACATGACCTTTGACATTATGATTATTCGTAATAATTTGCATGAATTTATTGATTCTAATCACGTAAATCGAAGATATAAATGCTATAAATCCACAATTGTGACGTAGTTACATTACAAAGTAATTACGCAACATTAGAGAAGCCATCTAATTATAACTTAGAAAAGTAGTTTCTCGGGTTGCACGCTGTCTGCCTTAATCAGATTCATTCTCTTAGAATAATTTAAATGTTGTAGTAAAACATTGAATCGGATGCACTTCATACACTGTTGAATCTCAAGCTGTAACGGGCATTTGGAAAATACGCAAGAATGAATATTATTACATTCGTTATGATTTCAGATTTGAATATTTTAAGAGTCGTTTATCTACTAATTAAAAGATGCATGCGGATGAATTAATGCGTTTCCCATAATGATTTATGAGATTGCTTTTCGTGATACGTGAATATAATTAGTATTTAAATAGAGTCACGTATTAAATGGGTGTGCAGGTTTTTTTTATTCTGTGTGATGTAATGGCTTGATGTCTTCAAATAATTCTTTCCTTCTAATAGTAAAAAATGTATTTATTTAAAGTAATATTCTTATTTATTAGCCTGTCTTCTAGAGAAATCTTTGTCTTCGTCATCCAATAGCGATTTTCTAATAGTAAATAATGTGGTACGTGATGATGTTAGTGACGTCAGGTTTTTGTGAAACTTCGGCTAGTTTTAACGGTGCTCAATAGTAATATTCAATGAATAAAAAAGTATTTTACGGCAGAATTTTTAAAGTTTTATCTTATTGGGATGCAATTTGAAAAAATTGTAGACCTATAAATCCTCACTGTCGTTCTTCCTGAATCTCGAAATCAGTGTTAGTTAGATAAAATTCGAGACTAAATATGAGAGCTTAAGGGTAGGAAGTCACGATTAACTATATAAGAATTCCAGTCTAGACTGGCAATCACCTGATTTCAATTCAAAAATTTTCCCCAGAACAGAGTTACATAGATGACCGGCAAGATTCTTGTTATCAGGAAAAGTATAACGTACAGGAGCAAAACACTACTAATTTGAGATGGAGAGCATATATTTTAAATTAAATAAGTTAAAATTAGGATTTAAAATTACAGTCCAGCATTGTTAACTATATTACAATAACTTTTACTTGTATATAAAGATTTTATATTATATACATTTATATAAAATACCGTGATTATTAACAGTAATTTTCTTCAGTGTTACGTGAACTATTCTATATTTTAAAGATGTAATTATAAAAGAAATTAATATGACATTTAAATTTCATAAATACTAAAAAATTATTCATGAAGATTTAAACTTCTTTAAACAGTTCATTTTTTTATTTAATGTAAAGATAGAAAAAATAAACAGAAGCTGGGATGAGGAGCATCATCCTACAAAGTAGAATATAGAATTTTTGATGTAAAAGCGATCGATAAATCCCAGTAATAAAGAGCCTTACCAAATAATACAAGAAATCCAACCGACATTGATCAACATTGAAAGATATCTAATGATATACTGATCTAGAGATCTAGTGTATCTCCAACTTCCTTATCCTATCAGGAGCAATGTATAGAGCCGTAGACAATACATCCATCATTCCTAAGCTCGTAAGGACGTCTAGAAACAGAATTAGATAAATATTTGCTTTGCTACTTAAACATGACGTTATTTAATATTTAATTTTGTCTCTCGTATCGCTAGACATATAATTGACTTTGTTGGATTGTATTGAATATTATACATCAGTATCAGTTTAATATTTCTGATAAGATATTTATATTTTCTAGGTCTACATCGGGTCGTATTGTTGGTAGTGTTTGGTGGTTTTTCACCTTAATCGTCATATCTTCTTATACTGCTAATTTGGCTGCCTTTCTAACTGTTGAGAGAATGGTAACTCCCATCAATTCGGCAGACGATTTGGCCAAACAGACCGAAGTCGAATATGGTACACTCATAGACTCTTCCACACAGGATTTTTTTAAGGTTTGATTCCTCTACATACTTTTAATAAATGTAACATAATAATATAATCTATCATATAATTCTTGCATAATTTAATCTTATAAACTAAGATTTTCTAATTTATAATCACTTTTATGCATGGTCAAATTTTCCTACAATCAAAAATACTTCTTTATTTCCCTCTCTCTTAGCCTCTCTCCCATTTTCTGTCTTTTTTATTGCCAAAGAGTAAAGAGTCCGGATTCGATTTCCACGTCTACCCAATTCTTGTTCGCTTAACAGCAATTATTTATCTCGCTGCGGGGTAAGCGGCACCTTTTTATGTATAATGGCCCGTCTTACCTTCTAGATGCACCTTCCCAATATATTTGATTGAGTAAAAGATAATCAAATGGTAAACAAAGCATCTACTTCGTGATTGAATATACGAGAAGATGCCGAAGCTAAAGATAAATTAAATATTCTCTGATAATTTTACAAGCAATCAAATGAGCAAATAAAATTTAATCTCCCTAATGGGAAATATCGTGTGTAAAAACTTACATGTTTAGTATCTAGAGATATATTAAATTTATTACATAATATTTTTACTGAAANTTGAGTAATTTTTTATTTATATACATGTAATTTTTCTTTTGAATGGATGCATTTTTAGAGATCCAAAATTGCGGTGTACGCCCGAATGTGGGAGTTTATGAAATCTAGAAAGCATGTTTTTGTTACATCATATAAAGATGGAATAAAAAGGGTGAGGGAATCTAAAGGGAAATATGCTATTCTGATCGAATCCACAAAGAATGATTACATAAACGAAAGGCAACCCTGCGATACCATGAAGGTAGGCAGGAATTTAGATGCAAAAGGCTATGGTGTAGCAACTCCTTTAGGTTCCGAAATAAGGTGAGGATATTTTTAGAATTTCAAAGTATATAAATACTCTATTTTATCCATACTTTACTTTACTTTGCGTGTCTCGGGAGCTTGTTTAATTACGAACCAAGAAACTTTTGTATATTTTTTAAATGGACATAATTTCGTTCGTGAAAAATTTAAGATAAAAACATTAAATTTTTAAACGTTTTTATAAAAAAAATAAATATAAATAAACCTAAGTTAAAAGAATGCATTAAGTTGATTATTCTTTATTTTAAGTAAAAAATACAACGTTTTCTACTTTTCTAAACGTAATTTTTTTGTGTGTTTTTTTCCTTAAACAAAAATTTAAATGAAATATACTGATTCGAATATTAGAACCTTTAGACATCATATCCTTGTAATTTTTGAAATAAATTACATTAAAAACATTAGATTATTTCATGTTTCTTTTCCAATAAAAATAAAATTTCTGTTTATTTTCGATTTGTTTTTTGGACGTGATTATTTTATTCATAGACGTAACATAATAAAAATGAATGACTTAGAACCGAAAAATGATGATGGTTTCTGAATCATAACATCAGTATCAATATAACGTTATTTTTCTGATGAATAAATTATATTTGAGCAGATTATACGAAAATAAATAACCTTGCTCAACCAAAAAAATAATTAATGATACATAAAACATTACACTATCTCCAGTAAAACTTATCGAAAAGTATTTAATTCAGTAAAATTTTACAATTAATAATTTTCTTTCTATAAATATCATTTTAATAATAAAAATTTCTGCTTAACAAAAAAATAATGCGATGAAACCTGTGTACATCGAAACCGTACTCTACTGAATTTCCTTTTTGGCAGGTTTTAGACAGGTTTTATTGTATTTGTTGACTGAAAATTATCGTAACTTATCGTTTATTTTATTTCACTGAATTTTAATGATGAAAATACCTTTATATTATTTCTAATTGGGAATATTTTCATGGCTTACGTGTCATTAATTATTTTTTTTAATAAAAATATCAATTTATTTTATTAGAATTAAAAATGTTTATAATATATTTTATATATATTTTACATGTATAATATATAGTATAGTTTGTATATTTTGTATGTTTATTAAACATATAAAAAAGACATCTTCCTGTTATTAATTTGTACGAAATTTTGTATTAAAATTTACTTTAATTAAGCCTACATTTTTCAAATATAAAAAAATTTAATTTTAAGTGCAAATATAAATTTATAAAAATGCTAAAAATAATGTAAAATGTTTTAGTTTGTATCGTGTTATTTATGAATATGTAAACTTGGAAAAGAATAAATGTTTAGATTATTAAAAGGATTTTTTGCAAGAGATAATTTGGGAAAATTGCCAAATAGGGGGGGGTGAGATGGTCAATGCATGAATTAAGAATAAAATAGTTTTTAATTATGCGAAGAGCACTAGCACTTTATATAAAAGAAGACACTATTGAAGGTTGCTCTTTTGAATGTATCAATTTTATATATTTTATTTTGTAATTGTAATTGAATAAAATAATAGGAAATATATTTTAAAATTATATATGTATATATATAATTTTATAGAAATCAGTTAAACCTAGCTGTTTTATCAAGAAAAGAAAAAGGAGATTTGGCACGACTTGAAAATAAATGGTGGTATGACAGAAGTGAATGTAGAAACGGGGACAGCAAAGTAAGTTTTTATTTTTAAATTATTATAAAATATATATATATATTTAATGTATACTTAAATTATAAATAACGGTGGTATGATTTATTACTTACATTATTTTATACTTTATGATTTTTATTATGTGTTTTCAAATTTTAATCAGCAAATTGAAACAAAAATAAATTCGGTTGGTTTATTTTTTTTAAACTTATCCCACTTTTATATACTTTATTTTTTAAATTTTTTTCATAAAAATATTTCTCGATTTAGTGGAGAGCAATTAGAAAATAGAGAAGTGATATTTTAAACATTATTATTATTGTTTTTTAGTTTGCTACTGTAATAAATAATTTTTTAAAATATTATTTATTAAAATCTGAAGAAAATGAATGAGGCTTTTGTGTATTATTCACAGGAATCCTCCCAGAACGAACTGACATTAAGTAATGTGGCTGGATGTTTCTATATCTTAATTGGTGGCCTAGGGTTTGCCATGGTGGTAGCTTTACTCGAGTTCTGTTACAAATCGCGCCTGGAAGCAACTAGATCGAAGGTAAGCAAATAATAAAAGAATAAAGAAAGACAACTTCCTATAAATGAATTAACTACAACAATAAGATCGAATTCTCTTTCGTAATACAAATATAAATATATTTACTCTGCGAATATAAATATTGGCAGAGTATTAAATCCATAAAAATCTAAAATTTTTACTCTAGAATATCGATTAAATGAATATTTAAACAAATCAAATATAGTAAAATCTATTCAAAACTGAACCTTACTAAACCGAGAAAAAATATTCATTTGAGTCTGTTTTACACAGATTTTACTGTACCACTTTTTTGTAATTTTAGTTTAGTATATATGTTAATTATTAATTTTAATTAAAAATTCGTAAACGTTAATACGGTTTATATATAAAACGAGCGAAAAGTATTGTGACATCGTCACAATGCCGGGCTGCAATTTTTATTCATATTCTTAATTCATTTAATTTAAAATATATGCTTTCTACCTCAAATTAGTAGTGTCTTGCCCCTGTATATCACACTTTTCCTGATAACAAGAATCTTGTTGGTCATCTATGTAACTCTGTTCTTGGGAAAATTTTTGAATTGAAATCACGTGATTTCCGGTCGCGATCGGAAGTTCATATGTAGTTACTTAGGGTATCGTCCCACTACGTTTTCCATCTCTGGTCTCGAAATTTATCTATCTAACACGGTTCTCGAGATTTATGAAGGACAAACAATGGAAATTTATAGTTCTATAACTTTTTAAAATTGCAGTCCAATTAAATAATTTATATTAAATTTCATATCTGAAATGAAAGTTTACAAAAATATGATAAATATTGAAACTTTTATAATTTAATCTTCTAAATACCAAATTCTAAGAAGAGGGGAGAATTTTAAATTCCTCGCAACGTATATATTTTATTTATCGATTATCTAAAATTTAAAATATGAGTTTATTTCGATTATTTATATATATTTTTTAGAATTAAATTTTAATTTGAACGGATACGTTTATAATAAAATAATATTGGTTAGAACGCATTGTACGGCCAAAAATAGAAAAGTGAATTAAATAAATTTAATTATGTATGATAAACTAATAATAAAAGTAAATGAGAATTGTTGCTGTAAATTTAATTATTTAAATTCCACTTATTTATAATAAATAGCTTAGTATTTGTTATTTTAGATAAATTAGATGCTAAAATATTCCAAATTTTTAAAAATCAAGTATGGAATGGATATGATAAGTGATGCTGATCCTCACCTGATCCTTCCAAATAATTTTCTAACTAGAAAAATATAAATTATTTTAAAATGTTCAAGTTTAATCTTTGTATTAAACTTACATTTACTAGTTGTATAATAAATATAAATCAAGTAAACTTACATTGGTTTACATGATTTATATTTATAACGATTTTAATTATGTAGTTACAACTTAAAATGCTATCAATACTTTAGATCTAAAGCAGATGTTTAAACTTTAAATTAATTTAATATTAAAATATAAAGAATAATTAAAGAGTAAAGCTTGAAGTTACAGTTTTTAATCTATATTTTAAAAATTATATTTAAATATTAATTATAATTTTCCATAGATGAGTCTGTGTGATGCTATGAAGACAAAAGTTCGCTTATCTGTTACAGGAGGTCCAAACGGTGAAAGGGGGAGGGTAAGTTTTCATTTATTTGTTTAATGAAAATTATTTATTTATATTATTCCGTAAGGAAATATATTTAAAGGAATAAATTTGCATGAAAATTATGAAATTTAATATTACATTTGGTAGTAATTTATACAAAATGAAAGTATAATTTTGGGAACGGAAGCTACATGCACGTTAACTTTCATGCTATTTTAGATTATTTTATATATTCGAAATCATTATTTTCCACATATTTTATCATTATTTAATCCATTTATAACTTATTTTTCTTACACTTTAAAAATTTCTTCTTACATTACTATTTTTTCCCCTTCAGTTTCATATGATTACCTATAAAATATTTACCTAAAATAACCGAAAAATCGTAAAATTTCATCAAATATTTAAAGTTTTATAGTGATTTAGATCTGAAAAAGTATTTTCAAATGTGCATAAGCTTTAAGTATCATGTATTTTCCCTTTCATGTTTACACAAATTACATTTTTACACTTCCAAGTGAAAAATTTACTGATATTGATCGATAATATTATTTTTCCACGGAAATGTTTATTTTTACAAATAAAAATAGCTCATAATTTCTGAAAAGAGAAGGAAATTAAACATTTACATCCAAATATTTAGCAGTAAAAAAATTCAAATTAATATTTGAAATTTTACAATTGTTAAGTAGTGCAAAAAGTTTTACAATCCACAACAAAAATTGAAATTCAAGCGACTAAAAATGTATAAAATTAATTATTTTCAAGTAATTTTTTAATTGTTTATAATGTAACATTGTATTTTTATATTCAAACATAAATTACTCCCTTAAATATCCAACTTAGTTGCTTCAAAATGGCGGATGATTATGATTATAGTGTTCCTTAGGTGCAGAAACAAGGCAGTGCCACGTTTTATTACGATGAGTAATTCTTGAGATAGTGAGCAATTCGGAAATTATATAGAAAATTAGTTAAGATAGGATGACAAATAGAGTACAGTATAATGATAAATCTCCTTTCATTTCTTACGTTTACGATAAGAAAAACATTAAATAATGCTGTATTTTGTCAGAAACCATAACGAATTAAATGTATAAATTCAATAAAATTTTTAAAATTTACTAATGAAATCGAACTTAAAACTATCAAGATAAGTAATTTTGACAATTGTTTTTATATATTAATAGACACTTTTTGTTAAGTATAATAAATGCCCCTCGTGCTTATAATTCGTTACGCATCTGTTATAACTATGATTATACTTTAAATTAATATCTTACCGTAAATGATGAGCTGCTTAGAGTAAGATAAATGGTTAAGTTGAAGAATTGCCATTGTCTTAGTCACTTTTGATTTGAATTTATATGAATAATTTTGCAACTTCTAATTAAAAAAAACTCTAACAGATGTAATTTCGAGCCAGCTAGGGTATATTGAAAATTATAATTCGAATCACATTAAGTTAGCGAATGTAATTTGCATGCAAGTTAATTATATTAAGTAGATTACATAAGCATATTATTACCATATAAGCTAATTACTTAGTAATATGTATGGAATATGTAATGTTAAATCAAATTAGTCACCTTATACTAAATTAGAAAACTGTAAATTTGACACATACACTACACTGAAAATTTTTGATTTTTTATTATAAACAAAACATAAACATAGAAAAAACATAATAATATTGTAAAATATGAAATATAATACACAATAACCTTCCCGAATTAATTATTATTTACAATTTAAGTTAGAAACAATATAAAGGTTTTAATCCATTTAGCTTCCCCCATACGAGTCATGTTAATTATATATAATTTAAAGTTAAAATATTTAATTCTTATTACTAAATTATATATAGTGATAGATTTATTATAATTCCTTGCAACATAGCGATGGTAAGTGAAATTATTCTACTCTATAAAATTTGATAAAATTGAAAAATTTTCATATATGAAATTTTCAACAAGATTTCATGAAAGTTTGTGAAATCTTGGCGTTAATTTAATTGTTTGAATATCACTAATTTAATATTCAGACAATACAAAAAATTTACTTAATGTATATTATTTTTAAATTATTAAAAAATTAAAAATAGAATAGAGATTTTTTAAACAAATTTATTTTTATGAAAGATAATTTGTGTAATTCGATAAGTTTTTATTTGCACGTGTTCAAATATTTTAAAATGTTTTCGTTAAGATCAAGTAGATTTAACAAGTAGAGTAAATGTAATATTACGCTTATTTTAAAATATTTTTAAAAAATTAAACGATTTAAAAAAAATTTAATATCAGAATAACAAAATAATGTTATTTTTATATTAAAACCTACCGAATCAACACGAAATTTTCGTTAACAAAAGGTTCCAAAGTTGATATATTTTAACAAAAACTAAGAATAATANGTGTTGGGAATTTCTTTTTACTGATGATTTATAAGAATTTTTGTTTTGAAATAAATCAAATGAAGAGTTTCATCGTTTCCTATCCGTTCAATACCTTCAGAGTTGTGATTTATGAATTACAAATATAAACATTGATCCAAAATAGAAATAATATGTAAATGAATAATTGTTACATTTATTCGGAGAAATATTTAAGTATTATACGAGATAACAAACTTTTAAGAATCGATAATTTAGTGACTATTACTCGAAATCATTTAAATTATATTATTTGCGACAATGTTGATAAGATGCATTCGCTCTACCATAAAATGATTTGGAGAAAAGTTTTCGCTTTTCAACTCGGATAGTTTTAGTCTTTTAATACATTCTGTATTCAAATGAGTTTTTGGAACTAGTTAAGAATTTCAACTACCGCATTTTCCAACCGTCTACTTAATCTTATCAAAATTTCGACCATGAGAACACAAATTCCACTTTTGTAATGTGTGCATCCAGTTGACATTTAAGCTATCACATTTAAAAATATGATTACCTATAAAATATTTACCTAAAATAACCGAAAAATCGTAAAATTTCATCAAATATTTAAAGTTTTATAGTGATTTAGATCTGAAAAAGTATTTTCAAATGTGCATAAGCTTTAAGTATCATGTATTTTCCCTTTCATGTTTACACAAATTACATTTTTACACTTCCAAGTGAAAAATTTACTGATATTGATCGATAATATTATTTTTCCACGGAAATGTTTATTTTTACAAATAAAAATAGCTCATAATTTCTGAAAAGAGAAGGAAATTAAACATTTACATCCAAATATTTAGCAGTAAAAAAATTCAAATTAATATTTGAAATTTTACAATTGTTAAGTAGTGCAAAAAGTTTTACAATCCACAACAAAAATTGAAATTCAAGCGACTAAAAATGTATAAAATTAATTATTTTCAAGTAATTTTTTAATTGTTTATAATGTAACATTGTATTTTTATATTCAAACATAAATTACTCCCTTAAATATCCAACTTAGTTGCTTCAAAATGGCGGATGATTATGATTATAGTGTTCCTTNTTTCCAACCGTCTACTTAATCTTATCAAAATTTCGACCATGAGAACACAAATTCCACTTTTGTAATGTGTGCATCCAGTTGACATTTAAGCTATCACATTTAAAAAAATTTGTAAATATATTATCGATTCTAATCTCAATTATTCGTATAAATATTTAGAAATTTATTTTAAATTTAATTCTATAATTTATGCTCAATTCTTTATAATAAATTTAGCAAACTTTGCAATTGTAGATTTTTTTAAACGTAGTAAAAAAGTCTAGTATTATTGAATTACACAAATTAATGCTTTAATATAATTTAGAAAGTTTGAAAGTTTGGGATATATATATTTTATAATAAATTTTTTATTGAATAAAATTTAAAATAATTTCAATAATATTTTCTATATTAAAAATATTAAATGTTGTAAAATTAATTTTACAATATTTAATATTTAGGATGATCCACTTCTGTAGGTATGACTTATTATATATATATTATTGGCATGAAATCTAAAAATAAAAATAATTAATTTATTAAATGTATTAAAAATATAGAGATATACTTTTAAATATATTATCTTTTTATTTTTTACTATCATCTGTCTCTTAAGTTTCGTATAGGCAGCTCTATTTTATAATTTCTTGTAAATTAATTTAAAAATATATTATTATTTTAAGTGTGGATTGATAAATTAAATGTAAAAGTTGTTAAATAACGAATTCAGAAAATTAAATTTAGTTTATAGGAAAATTATTGTAAATTAAATGTAAAATATTTTAAAAATTAAATCGAAATTTCTCATATTTTAGACTTGAAAAATTATATTTAAGTATTAATTTTTAGCAGAAATTCTTATCATAAATTGATAAAAAGTTATTTTTTATATTGTTAATTCTAAGAAGTCAATTATTTTTCATATAATATTCGTGTATAACTAAAAAGTAAGTCAACTTTACTTACGATAAGCTGCTTATACGGAATTTATAAAGAGAGATTTAACGTTAATAATTATCTAAAATCTGTCAAAAATTATATATAATGTGGAATGCCTTTTTCGAAATTTAAAATAAATTATTGCGGCCAATAGTAGAGTTTGTTTTAATTCTTACTGTGTCAACAAAATCGGCCGCTTTTGTGGTGCTTAGAGCAACTTCCTCTTTGATGTAGCATTCTCCCGTGACCAGTACAACAGGGAGTTGCTAGGGAGCAACAATCTTCAACCATTTTCATTTCCCCTCCAGTTCTACACTCCTGCCTCTCAACTGATCACTGCAGACGGGCATGCGGACTCCAATACACATACCCAAGTTTGATCTGACCTTTGACATCTTGGATCTTCTCATAACTGTTCAGAAGAACGAAGTGCGAAAGTTGGAGAGTGGACTCTGAAAGAAATACCGTAATATAGTACATAAATATAATATTTTATGATAGGCCAGATGCTCAAAATATTTGTAAACGAATTTTCCGGTTCTATTATACTAAATAAATTTAAAAACAGAATTTTTTTTGTATATTCGTTATTATAATTGCGTTTTTTTAAATCAATTATTAATGAATAAGAGTTATTGTTAATTATATGTGATAGAAAATATTTTATAAAAATTGTTTTGTTATATTTAAATTTTATAGAAGAAATTATTCGTATTGTTAAGAGAATACGGAAAATAATAAGTTGTAATGTAGTGAAAAATATATATGAATGGAATCGTTATAGTGTTATAGAATAAGTAAGAATTTAGGGATGAAAAATATATATATATATATGTAATATAATTTAATATAATAAATTAAAATAAATAAGTGCATATTAAGATTATTCTTGGAATGTTTAAAATTAATATATATCTTTAAAAAGTGAAAAATTAAATTTTATAGTTAAAATTTTAATTAGCTTTTAGTAAATTTGATGAAAAAATCGATAGTATTTTTATGTTTTTGATGAATAATTTAAAACGTAATACGTTGATATTTTAGGATATTATTTTATACGCTTATTTTTAAAATTTTTATTTGTATAGTAGAACGAATAGATGAAGAATATTCGAATAAAATAAAGCATTTCAGCTATATGAATTTTTGTACTGGATCATTGAAAAAAAAGGGAAAAAAAGAATAATTCTCTATGGGAAAACTTCATCACTTCAAGCACAAAATATTTTTTAGAATGGAAAAAAGAAGTAGTTTCCTCGCTTTTCATTTTTTATCTCTTACAAATACCAAGATGTTTTCATACGGGAGTCAGGGAATTGAAGTCGAATAAAGAATTTTCAGATCGCATCAAGACCTTTTGATCTCAACATATCGAACGACATCCGAACGAATACTTTCTCTGTTAGAAACGGTCTTTCACAGATCCAGTTTTCGAATTTCTTTTGAGATAATCAGATTTGAAGTTTTAAATATTATTTTATTTTTTCGTGATAAAATAAATGCATTTCCTTCTTTAATCTCCTTTCTAAAAAAATCTAAAAAAGGGGATTACTTCACTGTATAACATTTATAAATGCCACACATCACCTTGGCTTTAACAGAAACGAATGCTTTTTTTATAAGAAAAAAATATATATATATTGTTATATAATCATAATAAAACGATTAAGAGTACGGATTTTATTATGATAATATAATAATAAAGAGAATAAAAATTGAATGAGCTAAATTATAATCTATCAAGGACACTTCTCACGAGTATCTTTTCAAATTTTCAATATTCAGCTTGAAACTTTATGAAAGTTTTACTTCTTTTCACATTAGCGGAGATTAAACATTGATGTCAAATTAGTCATCTTATGAATGACATACACGAAAAGAGTGGAGCCTTAGTCCAGCTGGATTTTCTGTCACTGACCTTTGCTTATTGATACACCTCCGCCCTCGAGTCTAACTGGCGCCAAGTTATTATTTTCTAAAGATATTCGCCTTCCAAAATCAGAAAAGTCAGATAATAAACTCATTATTCTAAACTTTTCAACCATTTTCGTTGTATTAATAAAAAAAAATTTCTTCAATAACTTATTTATTATTCTCTAAAAATCAGTAACTCTATTTGTGTCATTATCATTTGAATCGAAATGGAAGTTCTTGATACATAATTAACCGAAAATAAAATTAGTGATGAAACTTTAATATGAATAAATAATGCTATAATCCGTTATAATTCTAATAGCTCTAGTAAAATAATCTGAATTTTAATAGTTTTGATAAAGTTTTAATAATAGCTGTACAGATGTATTTAAGATACCCAAAGCGTAGTTATGTAAATATAAATAGATGGTTCAGTAGAAAAAAAATAAATAGTAAAATTATCTTTCTATAAAGTTTTTCTATAGAATAATTAAATATTTATAGTTCTAAATTTAATAAAATTAATTTTATTCTGTGCTTTTATATTTTTTAAGTAGATTTTAATAGTTGTTCTCTTCTCCAGACAATCATTTACTGATCCTTTTTATAAAACGGATTATTCCGTTATGTTCGAGAAAATATTTAACTATCATTAGTTATTCATTAGAATATTAAATAGGGTTATTAGAATTTTTTCTTAATTTTTATTATAGCTGTTTGGTTAATAATTTAATTTCTCTTCAATTATTCAGTCGTCGGAGACGTTTCATTGCTGCATTCTTTAACAATCAAACTCTATATAAATAATCTTGGATTGAAAAAAATGATTTCAACACAGAAAATTGTACATTAGATGCATCGTTATCCGCTTATTTGAAGTCAAATTAACTCAGCTTTAGGAGATTACGGCTTCTTATACGTAGCTCACTCCGAAGATAGTTCAGTGAATCGCTACCATACGAAGTGTTGTATATTATATAAACAAGACACTTCTTTCGTCATAAAATAGGCAATTAATTTAATAATTATCATAAATAAACTATACAAGAGTAATATTCTTTATCTTTTCATTTAGAATCGTATACAATTTTATAAAAAAATCTATCTTAAATTGTACTTACCAAAGATAAGTTATTAATTCATAATCGCATACAAATATACACTTTATTATAGAAGTATAAATGTAAGAAAATGTTAAAAATGTGGACTTAAACCGGATCACTGGAAAATCAAATAGACTTTTCTTAGAATATATTCTTGGAACTAACGAAGAAAATTATGACTTACATCCTATAATTAATTATAAGAAGAAAGAAAAAATCTTTCAAACATGAATATTAATTAGAAAAATCCTGTCAAGAAAATTATATAGAGAGAGTTCTTTTCCCCTTCTCTTAATTAAATGCGATGGAGTTGTTGAAATTTTGAATCTTGCCTTAAATTGTAATAGATTTTGTGATGTCAAAAAGATTTTTTTGACAATATATAGATTTTTGTATATATATATATAATATTTAGTTAAAATCTCGTTGTGTGTTCATCTACATTAGTATTTTCCTTAAAAAAGTCAAAATTTATTTAAAATGTTTAATCTTTATGTATATTCTGTATTATAATATATTAAAAATATTTACAAAAATTAAAAAAACCGGAAAATTATGTTATGGCCTATCGATCATATGTAAAATTTTTATTTATTTTAAAAGTGTTTTCGTGATAAATCATTCAAAGAAAATTTTATTGATAAAAATTACAAAATTGTTCTAAAAGTCTAATTATAAATTTGTTTTTCCAATTGGTTTAAAAAGCCGTGTATATAATAAATTTCAGAAAATAAAATTTATAAACCCCAACGTATTTGTATCTGTGTTTAAAATATTAAATGAATAGTAATATAGAGTTCCATAAACACTATATATATATATGCTGTTTATATATAATATATTATATATATTATTTATTGAAATCCGGTTTGGAAAATAAGTTTTCGAGGAAAGTCAATATAAATTCAGACCGTACCTTAAAATAATTAATTTTTAAACATTGTAGACTAATTTTTGGATCTTATTGTAATCGGTTTATCGTGGATCAATTCCAGATTGAGAAACATCCACATTTTCTTCGTAATGTGGATTAAATCCTCAACTCATTTACAAGTACTTTACACGATTGATTATTATTAAAGTCGGTTGTACCTGTACTTGTAACATTTGTGTATATTCGACTCTCATTGTTAAAGGATGTGCCTGTTGTATCAATAGCGAAAAATTTCAAAGTACAGTATAGTATTGAAGAAAAACTTCAAGAAAAGATAAAGGATGCATTGAATCTTCAAGACATCCTTTGTTTTTCTTTGAATTTTTTAAAAGTCCTGATTGGCTGAAATAGATTCAAGCGAAAGGATCATAGGACGATTTCTATATGTTAATTTTTAAAACATTGTCATAATTAAAGTATTGTATATTCGAATCAATCTAGAAAAAGATTGATCTTCTCATCCTCTAAATACATTAATAACAAATTATTTAAAAATTTTACAAGTAAATATATTATTAATATAATTCTTATTCGGAACAGAATTTGAGAGCAGAAGGCGAAACATAAAATAATTATAATCAATATTTGATAATATGAAGAAAATTTGATTTTTTAATGCAAAAATTAATTAAAATTAAAATTAAAAATTATGAAATTGAGATTCAGAGCCGTCGAGCCTTTTGCATTTTACAAGCCCTTTAGTCATTTTTTTTCTTTTGAAAAAATGAAATTCGTAGAATATTTTTTTATTAGTTAAAAGCAATCTTAGAGATTTTATTTTCTGTTAGTAAAAATAACGTTAATTTTATACAAGTTATAGGTATCATTACGTGTTCCTAAATTTGTTCGGTTGGGGCCAAATCCCCAACTCCACCTCTCGACGTCTCTGTTGAGATCAAAAGTTGAAAATTTTCTGGTCAAAATTTAACTTAACATCAAGTAATTATATATAAAAATATTATTTACGATATTAATCTAATAAAACAGAGATATTAATTTATTTCATAATTTTGAGTAATGAAATATTTCATAACTACAACTTACCGGTTAATTATGATAAATATGAAGAAAATATAAAATATTTAAAGCGTAGAAAGTATTTAAATAACGTCAAAGACGGTATAAGAGAGTAAATTTGAGAAAAATAGTCCAGTTAGATCTATATATAGAAGCACATATTTTATGTGTCATACTCAAAGTGAAAATTGAATGCTTGGGGCAATTTACTTCGGTCATATTTCAAGCTTCAGAATTTAAAAGAAACTTTTCCTTCTTTCTCTACATTAATTAAACTTTATTATTACGATGCTCACAAAGGCATTAAAATTGTGACACATCGTAAACAATCGTATCGATTATTTTAATGACCTTTATCACATATCATAGAAAAATTAACTTCATCGAGACATTCCAATTTTATACATTATAAAAAATATTCTACTACTCAAAGTAATTTAAATAAATTATAAATAACAAAATTTATTTAAAGAAATATTAAATATCAAATTATTTGTAGAAATTTTATTTATTTTCATTTATTTTATTCTTATTAAATATTCAGAGATACGTGAATAAATACAATTTTTATGCAATTTTTTACGCTAAAATTATTATAATTAACGGCTAAGAATTAAAAAAATTCATAC